TCCCTTCCAATTCCCAACATTCTGTGATCTTGGAAAACCCTTGAAAAACAAAAACACTTTTCTGTACAAACTATTTCATGGATTTAGTTAAGAATAAAAAGAGGCTTTGTGTGAGCTTTTTCAGAATTCGAGTAGGAACCACCAAGCTTTTGATGGAATTGGGGTTTTGAGATTTTTACCTTTTTTTAAATCATTATTTATGATACCTGGATTGAACTCAGGGTGGGGAGTAAGTGTGAGGAATTACCTTAAGTTACCAGTTCTTCTATGTTACTGAAATTAGAATCTACAGTTTTATTTTAAAATGTACTCACAACTGGGGAAGATAAAGTGGGAACATGATGGTTTTAAGAACATAACTTCTGCTTACTTGAAGAAATCCTGGATACAATAAAGAACTCCTGTTGCTTGGATTTTCTGATTTTACTGTTGGACACTATATTGAAGCTACTGTAACAAATGAAGAAGAATTACTAATAGCACCTGTGGAACCATTTTCTCCAACAAAACCTAAAAGTATTACAGAACCTCAGCCAAGGAAGACAACTGTGGTTGCCCCTAAATACAGAAGGTACTGTGAATTACAATGAGAGTAACACTTACCTAATGCTGCTCTGTTTAGTATTGCTGTGTCTGTTCTGTAATGCTGACAAATAAAATACGAAACTGGGAGAATCTGTACATTTTTATATATGTATGTTGTAAACAAGATAATTGTGGATATTACTGATAGAAGAAGTTGTTTTAGTAATGAACTGCTTGATTTCTTTGTAGATTTGTCAAAGAGGATATCTTTCCACTATATAATGTGGTGATAAACACTGTTGCGTAGTAAACTACAAGTAACAGTTGTGTTACTTGTAGAAAAAAACCTTGGAAAATAAGAAATAGTTTTCTGAGAGAGTTAGCTTCTTAACTCGTCAAGCAACTTTGACTTCTATATCTGATGTTTCCCATCTCTCATTCACAACTTTTCCTTTTGCAAATAAGCTGCTGTTATAGTATTTGCTTAGATACAAAAATATCCCTGAACTGAAGAAGCAGACACACGATGTTTTCAAATAATCCGTAACTGGAACACTTGCCTCTCTTCCCAGTAGAGCAAACTTCTCATTTGTCACTTTGAAGGAATAATTTGCTCTGTCGTGTGTGTGTGTGTGTTCTGATTTTATAGCCTTGATGATGTGGCATGTTCATTAGCTGTTTTTCACATACATAATTTGAGAATGCTAAATGATATGTCATACGTTTTTGTTTTAGAAATCACAGAAAGCAGTTGCCAAGCTTTCTCCCGCATTATACGATACCAAATGAGTTAAGAAAATGTGTGGAGCAGAAGTTAGACATACTGACCTTTCAGCCTCTCCTAGCAGAGGTATGCAATGAGGGTTTATGTAAGAAAATATATTTTATGTAAGTGGGTTTGTTCAAGCTGGCCTTAATTTAGCAAAGATGTGTAGCCCTTAGTGTAACAGAAAATGATAAGAAAAAGTGAGAATACTCTTACTTTTTAGGCATCATTGGAAAGGATTTTTGGGGTGTTGGGACAGTAGTGCAGCAGTTGTTTCATAGGAAATGAAAGCAGAAATTCTTCCAAGTTATTGCAGTAACAGATAACTCTTTTCTGGTTGTTCAAAACTTTTTTGTTAAAAAATCCTCAAATTTAATTCACTACAGCTTGTTCAGATTTTCACTGCAAGTATAGCAATTTCAGAATATGTACCAAAAAACCAAAACAAAACAAAAACCTGAAGTCTAACAAGAACATTACAGCGATTCCTTCTCCAAAACTTTGTCCTGATTTCTGGTAGAACATTGCTTCAACTTCCCTCCCCCTGCCCCCAACTTTTTAAGGATTTATAAATGGGGGCTAATATTTAATTTTTCAAAAATGTAAGAGGCTGTTATCTGCTTTCCAGACAGCTCAAGCAAAGCCTCACGTCACAGCATTAAGAGAGCAGGTTAGTGATCCTCTCTCAAACAGATAACTCTCTAGTGTCTGAAATAATTTTATACTAAAAGCCTGCCATTAATGGTAACTTTTTTCAACCGCACCTTACATTCTGTGTGGCACTGGGGACTGTTTTAGTTCTGCTCCAGAAAGCACTGCTTATTTGCTTTGCATTTGAATGAGAAGATCTCAAATAGAAAGCATCCTGTGCGTTCAGTCTTTGTTTGGATAGAGCTTTGTACTGTACTGTTGGAGAATACCTCTTCAGTGAGATGTATTAAGTTCTGAGGGAGAAAGCTCAGGTTCTTTCAGCTTGTTGTAAGTTGTGTAATCAGCCAGGGCCAAGACTGACGTGATTCTGTCTGTTCACCTGTGTCTGCCCAGTGTACTTAGATTTTATGCTTTCTGGGATAGCTGAACATACAATTCAGTTTGCAGACTGCCCCTGAATTTAGATGTTGTAACTGCCATTGTAGTAGGGAGAGCCTTGGTTTACTCTTGGGCTGATCAGCTACTGTAGCTGAGCTCCAAGGACTAAACTAATTCTGCTTTGACTACTGGAGGAGTTTAAAATATTAACTGCTGTATAGACACATGTATTTAGGTGCCTTAGTTGGCTGTCTGGTTGCTGTGCAGTCGGTCTTAAGAGGTATTTTTTATCACATTAAGAATAGTGGGTTACACGTGTTGGTGTAGAGGTTACAACAATAATGTATGTTGTTTTGTTTTTCAGCATCTTAATCTAGATAATTATAAAGCCAACTTTTCTACTCTCTTGTGGCTTGAAGACATCCATGCAGAAATGGAGATAAAAGACTTCAGCATGAGTGGGGTTACTTTGAAAAGGAATGGGAACTTGTTAGCGTTGGAAGTGCCAGGAGTGGAAGAGGGCAGACCTCGCCTGAGTATAGGTAGTAATTAATGTGAAATAAAGCTAAATAGCATGTTGATCAATATTTTCAGTGCAAGATATTGCTTATTTATTTGTTTAAAGAAGTCTTTCACTTATTTGAATACAAGTTATTAATCTAGGCTACTAGATGGGTGAACTGCGCTGTTAATATCTTAGTGTGAGCCTTACAGTGGCTGTTGTCTGAAGCAGCATTGCATGTCTGTTCTTAAGCATATTCCAATACTTTAGGATGTAGTTAAAATTGAATTCAGAATATCAAATAATATACACAATACTGTTTTCAGGAGATCTTGTCTGATGGTGTCAGATGCCTTTTAAAATGTAATGTACAACTTCATTTGGCATTCCATACTCACAGATATGGCAACTTTGCTGAAGTCAGTTAACATCTAGCATCCTGCAAATTCCTAGTTTAACCATGCAAAAGAGGAAATTAAGTGCTGTAGTTAGAATTTTGCTTTTCCTTGTAACAGTATGTTGCCTTTTGACTTTGTTTACCGTTAGGTGATAAGGTGATACTGAAAAGTCAAGTCTACTCTCAGCATGTAGTAGAGTACGTTGGCTATATTACTGAGGTAAGCAAGGTATATCTCCTGTTGAAAGTACTGTGGTCCACAGGTTTCAAAGCTGGCAATTCATGGAGTTACAGACTAATTTAACCTGACTTTTGGGAAGCTAGATTTATCTCTATTCTGTGTGGTGATGTTTGTATTTTTATTGTATTTTTTTAAGACTTTGCCTTCCCTGTTCTGTCTAGAATATAATCTTTACCTGCTCTGAAAACACTCATAATCTAGATACGTAGTATGTTGGTAGCTGGCAAATCTAGGTGTTCTTTTTGGAGGTGATGACAGGGTTCAGTGCTTTCAGAGGTGATTATTTGTGTTTAAAGTACTAAACCTTCATCAGTAAACTGATTTTTATCTTTGCAACAGATATGTAATGAAGATGTTACTCTTAAATGTAATGCAGACTTTGAACAGGCTTACAACTTGGAACCCATGGATGTGGAATTTATTCATTGCAGGTATTTTTATAAGTTTCCAAAAAGCTGCATTTAATAACTCCTCTAGTAAAGTGACTTTTAAAATATACATGACTGTGAATTGGTTGTTTTGGTGGATACAGTTAGGAGAAGGACATAATTAAGATCTTGCCTATTCT